GGGGGGGGGGGGGGGAGATGACCCCTGCTGCTGCTGCCTCTGAGCCAGGTCCCTGTGATACCCTGTCCCTCCCAACCATAGGATGGTAGAGGCCAAAAACAATCATAGCTCTAAAGTACTGCAGTGGACCTTCAGGGAGCCAAAGGGAAGCTTTTTCTCATACCTCAATAATTTGAAAAACCATGGGTCATTCAGGAATGGCATTAACAGACTTCGGTCAGCTAGCTGGGTCTAAAGGGCACAGAGTAGCCCCATTGACTTCACTGGGTTATTCACAGTGGGAAGCACTGTCTGGTAGTGAGTATTGCAAAGCTGGGCCCAAGAGTAGGTGTGATAAAATATGGCACAACGAGCTTATGGTAGGAAGGATAGAGGGAGAGAAAACAAAATAAAATTGTGCTTGTTTGTGAATAGTGCTCATAATTTTAATTCCATCTTTATTGTTTATTTAGATGGCTACTAGTAAGGCCCCTAGCACCATCATATTCAAACACCTGTAGAAGGTTGCTGCAAAAAGGTCACTTGCCTTCCAGTTCATTGTTTCACCTGTTCTGCTCCCAAGTATCCCACAGGCTGATGGACGACCACCCCCAGGGCCACTCCCCAAAGGAGGGGATATGGTATAGTGTAACTGACACTCCAAAACTTCATGCTCACTTGTAATATGGTGATGCCTCAGGTCCACTTTAGGAAAGCTGCTAATGAGCCACTCCGGTTTGTTTACTTAACGGTTCTGCAGCTACTTTGTGGGCATAGTATTTTTATGTTATGCAAAGACTTATTCAGATGAATGATATTTTTTTTAAAGTATGGAAAGAAGCTGCTTTTCCCATGCCCTTCTATTTTGTAGTCATCGTTTGTGTTTTATGGACTGATCACTGATCCATATTTCATTCATCAAATCAGTCATTTACTTTATAGGCTCAGCTTGTTTTCCAAATTGTTTCTATTTTAGTTCTTTTAGATGGAGGTAGTGAATGTGCTGAAGCTAGGTCTGGTCTCTTTAGATTCACCAGATAACATATATTTATAACAATATAAATACCCTGGGACTGACACACTCACAGTGCTTGAGCATGACGGAGGGAGGAGATTTCCCAGAATATTTCCAGTGTCTGCCTTCTTTGAGCCTCCTTTCTTCTGCAGCGCTCGGGAAGCAGGTTGTTTCTGACAGTGCGAAAAAAGACCTTTGCATTCTCCTTTGCTGACATCTGCTGGAATAACATGCAACAGAGAAGGGAGTGGAATTAAAACAAGCATTGCTCAGAAGTCAGTCAACACAGTCCCAGACAAAGCTAAATGATGCTATGTTCTTCCCTCTATCCACTAGAAAGAAAATGTAACTGTAGACTTTTGTGGATGCTGACTAACTTTAGTTGTTCTTCCCTAGTTTGCCTGGGAACTTAAAACCGAACACTCACCCTGATTTTGTTTTGTAGATAGGAATGAACCTACTGCCTCTCCAGTGGTTATTTTAAAGTGTGTGCTTGAAAGACCACAAGGAACCTAGTTGTCCACCCTCCTGCTGTGCAAAGTGGGTGTAAAATGCTGCCATTCTGATCTGGGAGCACTTCATGCTCATTATGCACCTAGTACATCTGTATGGACACTGGGCACATGCAAACAGGAAAAAAAATGCAACCCATGTGCTGTCTGCTCATTCCTTATACTGATTATAAAACTACCACAAGGTGTCACTATAGTAAAGAAAAATAGCACTGACATTTCCCACATACCCCCTGGGGGTTTTGTAAACAATGGGCTATATCAATTTAGTAGCCATTTATCCTGCTTTCACTTGAGCTATTGAGTACTTTCTGAGCCAAGTAAAGTCTGTGCTCAGTTTGGCTTAAAGAGTAAGTGTGCCAACTGCTTTCAAAGGCACCTTATTTTCTAATGACCACACACCTTCAGACCCTAATTCTGCAAGCTGATTTCATAAAAACAAAAACAGCCCTGGGTCAGACCAAAGGTCCATCCAGCCCAGTGTCCTGTCTGCCGACAGTGGCCAGCACCAGGTGCCCCAGAGAGGGTGGATCGAAGACAATGATCAAGCGATTTGTCTCCTGCCATCCCTCTCCAGCCTCTGACAAACAGAGGCCAGGGACACCATTTCTATCCCCTGGCTAATAGCCTTTTATGGACCTAACCTCCATGAATCTATCTAGCTCTTTTTTTGAACCCTGTTAAAGTCCTAGCCCTCACCGCATCCTCTGGCAAGGAGTTCCACAGGTTACCTTTGGCTCATATGGCTTTCGGAGACCACATTGATTTCAGAGGGGCTTAACGTAAGAACATAAGAACGGCCATACTGGGTCAGACCAAAGGTCCATCTAGCCCAGTAGCCTGTCTGCCGACAGTGGCCAGCACCAGGTGCCCCAGAGAGGGTGGATTGAAGACAATGATCAAGCGATTTGTCTCCTGCCACCCCTCTCCAGCCTCTGACAAACA